AAAAAAAAAAAAAAAAAAAAAAAAAAAAAAGGAAAGGAAACAAAAATAAATATCTTACATTGTGTTGCTCTGTTTCCATGAAATGTCTGGGGTAGGCGAATCCAGAATCAAGAAGTAGGCTGTGATGGTTGGCTGTGTTTCTTTCTGGGTGATGAAATGTCCCGACAGTAACTATAGGCATAGTTGCATACCTGAAAATTCTAACTATGGAGTTACACACTTCAGGCAGGTGAATTATGCAGTATATGAGTTCTATCTCAATAGAAAAAGTAAGAGTTGTCTTACCACGTCTTGCTTGTACCTTATTTTTTATAACTTATTTTTGTGTTGTCTTTTCCTCCACAAAGCCGCACAGTCCAAGCCCTTCCACACCCCAACCATCATAGCAGGGCCGCAGAACGTCACAGCCTCGCTCCACCAGACCGTTGTCCTGGAGTGCATGGCCACCGGAAACCCCAAGCCGATCATTTCTTGGAGCCGTCTTGGTAAGTTCTCTGGGGGAAAAAGTCTTTGGATTCCTTTAATTTTGTTTATTCTGAGGAAACTGGTAATACATTTATTTCAGATACAGTGCGTTTGGCAATTCCATAACTTCTTTTGGGGCAAACAGAGAACACTTCACTCTGGCGAACTGTGTGCTTCGCATGACTGATTGCGTGGACAGTCATCTCTTGACCTCGTCCCAGATGACGTGTTCCACTGCTTTGACAGGAGCATCTCTTTGTCTTCGAAACAGATCACAAGTCCATCGATGTCTTCAATACCCGGGTGATTGGAAGCGGCAACCTCCTGGTCTCGGACGTCCGGCTGCCCCATGCTGGGGTGTACGTGTGTAGGGCCACCACCCCGGGCACACGCAACTTCACAGTTGCCCTGGCGACCTTGACTGTCCTAGGTGTGTTTTCTTTTACTGTGTGATTAGGAGAATCTTATTTACACATCTGCCATTTTAGTTCAGAGCTTACTTGTTGATTTCTTGAGTTCTGTAACACTGATCTGAAGGCTGATAGAAAGTATCATAAAGGAAAGATGAATTTTAGGAGAGAATTAAATTCCTGTGTTAAACTGTAATGACACAGCTGTCCAGAAGTCACTGAGCTGTTCGCGTGCATGCCGTTATGTTCCCTCCTCTCTAACCTCCCTTGTGCCTCATCTGCCACAAATTCATACGCAGCCTGAGGCCATGGCCTGTCCTTCTCCCCATTCACGGGTGGCTTCTGTTGGCTTGGTGAGGAAGGACTGTGCGTGCACAGAGCTCGAGCTGGGGGACCCGGCAAAACGTCCCTGGACGGGGGGAGCAGGAGGCAGTGTCAGACACCCTCAGGACAGCACATGCCTCGCGTGCTGTTCCTCCTGGACTCTCATTCCTGTTGGCACCACAGAAATGTTCTCTTTATTCTTTGAAAACAGCTCCTCCTTCATTTATTGAGTGGCCAGAAAGTTTAACAAGGCCCCGTGCTGGCACTGCTCGGTTTATGTGTCAGGCTGAGGGGATCCCTGCACCCAAGATGTCGTGGCTGAAAAACGGACGGAAGATGCACTCGAACGGCAGAATTAAGATGTACAGCAGGTGGGCCTCCTGTTTTCCTGCTGCTTTATGGAAGGTGTTAGCAGTTTTAGGTAAAATGATTGTATTATTTTAGTAAATGATCTTGACAGTTAAAACCAATTTAAATAAATAAGAAATTGAGATTTATAGCACTCGCATGCCGTGGATACTTTGTGTTTTATTTATACATGGGTGCTAGAAGTGGTGGGTGGCAGTGAAGTGAGTAGTAACTGATTCCCCAGCCCTGGGCTGTGGCTGTGGTAGGCATGAGCTAAGTTAGCACAGCCAGTATGGCCATACTTTGGGGTCTCGTTACGTCTTACATTCATAAGAAGACCAGAAGGAAATAGTCTATCCTCTAAGAATTCCTCCAGAGTTGAAGTATGCGTTGTTACTAGTATAAGTATGAATTCTCGTAACATTCTCATTTATGGTTAACAAAGCTAAAAAATTTTGTTCACCTGATTTCATATAAATATTATAATATTATGCAACTTAAGAGTATTTTAGAGTAACGCACTTTCTTGCAAGGGGGGTTTGCTTGCTTTTGTGGCACTGTGGACTGAGCCCAGGGCTTCACAGGCCAGGCAAGTGCTCTGTCACTGAGCTGCACCCCAGCTCCAGCAGCCGAGTTTTCAGAGAGTTTACGTTATCACCTAAAGCAAAGGGGATTTGGATATCAGAACATTCTGATAAGTAAATTGGGGTAATTCCAGGTGAGTAATGTAGAATATTTTCAATTAGGGCTGATTGTACAGTTTTCCATTTTCAGTAACTTTTGTCATTTAAAACCAGAGTATGTTTAGCAATAGCTGAACTTCATTTTTATACCATTCTTAGACTTTTCCATGGACATAATGTTTTTTCTTCCCTTAGTAAACTGGTTATTAATCAGATTATTCCCGAGGACGATGCCATTTACCAGTGCATGGCTGAGAACACCCAGGGCTCTGTGCTGTCTCGAGCCCGGCTGACGGTGGTCATGTCAGAGGACAGGCCCAGCGCTCCCTGCAACGTGCATGCGGAGACTGTGTCCAGCTCGGCCATTCTGCTAGCGTGGGAGAGGCCCCTGTACAACTCGGACAAAGTCATCGCCTACTCTGTGCACTACATGAAAGCAGAAGGTGTGCAGCTGCATGTCGTTTTCCAGGGGCCCCTGGAGATCTGTCACCTGTGCTTCTCTTTATTTCTCAGTGTCCTGTGGTTGTTTACGTTGTATTGTGTTAGTATAGTTTAAGATTTTTCTGTTTAGGGCTGGTGATACAGCTCAGCAGCACAAGCCTGGCAAGTGCAAGGTTCTGAGTTTGATTGCCGGTACCAAAAAAACAAAGATTTTTCTGTTTAGAAATGAGTTCTGGCTAAGGCAGTGCATCTTAACCTGCTAAAAATCAGAGTGGTCTAATTAGGAATCTTATTCTGGCCAAGATGTAAATTCCTTACCTGAGACTTACACCAGTTCAGTATTCAGTGACACTCAGACTGTTTAGTAAAATACTGCAGTAAACTGTAGACACCGTGGCATGTTCTTTTTAAGGAGTGAGTAAACATGGTCAAGTTCTCCATGTACTGGAATCTGTGTCTTTCAGATGTTTTCTGAAATCATTTGTAACTCTTTAAAAATTGAACAAGATACTCTTTACTGATACCTTGTTTACCTTATAATAAAAGTAAAAACCAAATCTGTCTTAAAATTGTTAAGCATTCTTGGTTAACATTTTCGTTTTTCAATCCTTGTATCTTATTTTTGGCCAAAACTTTAGAGGAAAAGGAAAAGCTACTTACAAATCCTAGAGATTTCTCCATCAGCTTTTCATAGAAGTCATGACAGAGGTTTGTGGATTTTAGTTGTGGACACAAACACCGTAGCCTTTATGCAGTATACAGTAAGCACGAATTTAAATGTTCAAAGAACAACGTCATGTTAAAACTGTCCGGAGAGAGGTGTTTTGCTGCTGCTGTTGCTGCTGTTTGTTGTTTGCGGTCTGTAGTGCTCTGAAAGGAATGTTTTGAATGTAAATCGGGGTGTGGAAGCGAGAAGAATGGAGTGTGCTGGAGGACGTTAATTCCCTTTCTGATGACTCAGGGGTAAAAGGAATGCAGGTCTCGGTGGAGACTGCTCTTGTTCTCGTCGTGGCTGTTTCATTAGCGCCTCTGCCTGCCGCGCAGTGGTCTATTCAGGGACAGAACAAGGCTTTTTAATTCGAACTCAAGGACCTTGCCTGGGAGGTCAGAAATCTACTATGCCATTCCTAATTAACCAGCCATTAGCCTGTCTGTTGTGAAATGCCTGTAATCTTGTCTAATTAAAATGCTATCAAGTTAATTCAGAAATGTGGGAAAACGTAACGGTGAATTTGCCTTCTGTTTTGTTCATGAATGCAGCGTGGGGAAGGGACTTGTCCCTGGAGGGGGTGGGGCTTTCCCTGTGCGCAGCCCGGGCTACTGCTCTTGTCCCGCAGTCGGGTCTGCTTCGCGATTCGGCCTCAGCAGGACAGATCTTCCTCTGTACCCTGCCATGCCTGTGTCATTAAGAACTGCTGAGAATTATTTCTCTTTAAAAAGATCACCGTGGGACAAAGCTTTGTGAAGCACCTTCAGTATCCCCCAGTTCTTTTGCTTTGTATCAATAAAAGAACGCTGTGCCCACAAAGTGAGTAGAATCTGTGGGCAGAATGAGATCTCTTGCAGGACAACCTTTGGTTCTGTTTGTTTTTGTAAGAATGGAATCCTTCTGTTCCCTGTCCCTGTTAAAGGGTGAAGGGACCTCGCGTGGAGCAGCAAGAGCACTGCATTAGACTCACAGCTCCTGCGTCTGAGCTCTGTGTTATCTGGACTCCGTCCCTGCCTGAAGCTCCTGCTAGAGGGGACGCAGAGTTTCAGGAAGGCTCCTTCTTTTCCGATTGATTTATTTAGGATGACTGCAAACTAGTAATTTGTAGCAAGGCAAACTCTGTGGTTACTGTTAGAAAATAGGGACTTTTGGGGCTGGGGATTTAGCTCAGTGGCACAGCGCCTGCCTGGCAAGCTCAAGGTCATGAGTTCGATTACCGGTACCAGGGGAAAAAAAAAAAATAGGAACTTTTCTATTCACAAAAGACTTTGCATAAAGGGTCATAAAAGATGGGGATGAGGTTAGGTCTGAGAACCAAATATTTCACAGCAAGGGAAACTAACTTTTATTTTGACTGTTCACAATTTATAAACATCGGTTCTTTCTTCTAGGTTTGAATAATGAGGAGTACCAGGTAGTCCTTGGGAATGACACGACTCATTACGTTATCGACGACCTGGAGCCAGCCAGCAACTACACATTCTACATTGTGGCCTACATGCCGCTGGGGGCCAGCCAGATGTCGGACCATGTGACACAGAGCACCCTGGAGGATGGTAGGCGCTGTGGTGGGCTGCGTCCGAGAGCGTGTGTGTTTCAGTGAGGGAGAGTAGCCTCTTTTTGGTTAAAAAGGCATTTAAATAGCAGTCCTTTGCCAATAGCGCACTTAGGATAAAGAATTTACTTAGGATTCGTAATATAAATTTGGTAGTAAATTCTTAACTGTATTTTCTAGTTGAAATTGTAAATTCTTTTTTTACCTTATGGAATAAAGTGTAGGTTTTTCTCAGCATGAAAAAATGTGATGAATGTTACGTATTGAACATAGGACCACTGACAGTGATGGACCTCTGGAACTGGGAGTTTATTGAACTTAGTACTTTCCAGTCTTAAAACCCTCAGGTAATAACATAGTGCTTAGCTTACACGTTAGGTGTGTGTAACACTTTTCAGTTTGTTATTGCACCACTGACTTTTGGGAGGGCAGACCCCCCATATATGATGGAGCTGGGCCTGGGGGTGTGCACCTGTAGTCCCAGCACTCTGGGAGGCTGAGGCAGGAGGAGAATTTGAGGCCAGCTAAAACCTAGTGAGACCTTGGGGAGAGGAGTTCAATTAAGATCACCCTAGAACTGGTCCTTCTTGGCCCTACATAGGGTGCTGTGAGAGACAGGCTCCCTCTGTCTCCAGGGGCTCTACAGGCCCATTTTCTGTGTGGAGGAGGCTTATTAACGTGTGCTTGATTACACTGTTCTCCCTGTACAGATGTTTCACCCCCTTGGGAAATAAACTACTTGTTTTCAAAATAGTGTTACATAAGTAATCCCCAAATCTGTTCTTCTGTTCATTTGGTCCCAGATCTTTACGTATGTATTCATAATACCGCTTACTTAAATCAGAGTTTCACTGAGTAAAAATTTTCCCCTTATTTGAGTGCTAAGTTCCAAGTGTGAGTTTTCATTCGTGAGTGCGCTGCATTTCAGGTGAGCCAGTGTACCGGCGGTGTCTCTAGTGCACAGACCGCATTTAACAGCGTCTGTTTTGTATGTCGAAGGTGAAACACAAGCTGGTGTGTGTGTGTGTGTGTGCGTGTGTGTGTGTGTAACTTAGTAACCTTCTCATTGCTGAAACACAGTACAGAGCACCTGTAAAGTAAAGGAGGGACGTTTACTTGGCTCACTGTTTCAGGCCATGGTTGCTGGCTCCAAGGCAGGAAGGAAAGGTGAAAGGGCCTGGGTGGGAAAACCTGCTGTCATCATGGCAGCCGCGAAGCAGAGAGAGAAGCAAGGAGCCAGGAAGTGCGAGAACCTTTCAAGTCACAGCCCCAGTGGCCCCACTGCAAGTCAGCTCCATTGTCGCAATGACCCAGTCACCTTCCAAAAACCTGGGGCTTGAGCGTATGAGGCTCTTGGGGGACATCTGGATCTAACCCTAACATTCCACCCCTGGCCCCCAAAAGGCTCATGTCCGTCTCATTATGTAAACTCCCTTTAATCTGTCTCTTAAGAGTCATCGAAGTCCTAACAGTGCCAGCATTGTTGGAGTCCAACTCCAAGGTCTCCTCTGAGACGCAAGGCAAACTCTTAGCTCCAACCCCCTGAAAAAACCAAAAAGAAAGTTAAGCACTGCTGACATTCAATGACACAGGATAGACATTCCCATTCCAAAACAGAGGAATAGGTGAATAGAAAGAAATCAAACCAAAGCAAGAACAAAACCCAGCAGGGCAAACATTTAAGTCCTGTAGCCCTGTATCCAGCACTCAGGGCAAAGATGTGACCTCCAGACTGCGTGAGCAGGCCTGCCCCTGTGGCATGGCAAGTGTTGCAGCCCTCAGGGCCTCTCTCTTGGGCTGGCTTTGCTCACTGCCTACTGCTTTTCTTGGATTTCTGCGTTCCTGGCTTCTCCATCTTTCTGGGGTCTCCATGCACCTTTATCTTTATTCTCTGAGCTTCACCCACTGATCTCTCAGGAGCACTTCTGCCTGGCCTCCCATGCCTTCTTCTGAAATCTCGGTGGAAGGCTCCATGACCCCATAGTTCTTGCATTCTGCGTGCCAGTAAAACCAGCACCACATGAATGATGCCAAGCTCTGCTGCCACCGTGAGCAGTGTCTAGGCCCTTTTGCATTATGGCTGCAGAGGCCTCTGAGTGCCTAGACAGCTGAGTACTGTGAATCCAATCATGGGAAACCAGTTTCCAAGGAGGCCTTTGTAAAGCACGGTGCACTTTCGGAGCACTTTCTAGAGCACTGAGGCTGTCTTCTGAAGGAGAAGGCTTTTACCTTTATACCCTTCATCACATACTCTTGAGGCATCTTTCCAGTTTTCTCGATGTGACGTACTTGGCTTCTTGCTAATCAGATTGTCATCCTGGAGCCCTAGGATCTCACCCTTCTACAGCTCCCGCTACCATGCTTGTGGTAGGAAATTGGAGAAGTGGTTTCATGTTTTACGTGAGTGTTATGTTTTCTCATATTTACCCCAAATAACAAGCCCTCATGCAGTGGTCAACACCATGCTTTCTTTGATTCTGCACACTTGTCTGCTCGTAATTGCTCCTTTGCTCTGGCTTGTACTCTGCTCCTTGAAAGCCTGTGAGGGCTGAACATACCTGTGGACCACTGAAAGAATTCCTGAGGACACCCTGCCTCTGAATACTTCTGAGCAGCTTGTCTTCCTCTCCGCCAGTTCCCCTGAGGCCCCCGGAGATCAGCCTGACAAGCCAGAGCCCCACTGACATCCTCATCTCCTGGCTGCCCATCCCAGCCAAGTACCGCCGGGGCCGAGTGGTGCTGTACCGCCTGTCCTTCCGCCTGAGCACTGACAGCACTGTGCAGGTCCTGGAGCTCCCGGGCACCTCACACGAGCACCTACTGCAGGGCCTGCGGCCAGACAGCGTCTACCTGGTGCGGATCACAGCAGCCACGCGGGTGGGGCTGGGGGAGTCCTCGGTGTGGACCTCACACAAGACGCCCAAGGCCACCAGCACGAAAGGTACTGTCTGTGCCCCAGGGACAAACACCAGGGCGAGGCTCTGAGTTCAGACTCTCCACTCTTAGTTCTATTTTACACTTTCATTTTGAGGATAAAAATATTCCATAAATTATGGACGTGATTGAGAAAAGTTAAAACTTTTAGTTTACTAGTCTCCTTTTGCTTATAGCTCAGACGTTTTTATTTCTAAATTTTTTGTTTTTATCAGTACACGTTAACAGCACATAATGACTGCATTCGTTGTGAGGAGTTGGCACGTGTACATAACAGCTCAATTCGCTTTTCCCCTTCCCCTCCATTCCCTCTTAAAAATTATTTGCCAGTATCAGATTCAATTATTTATTTTGTAAAATTGGATTATACCGTAAGTTCGCTTAGCAAAACCTTTGTCCAAGTCAAATAGAATTACCAGCAGTAATCTGCTAGCGAAGACCTCTTTAATACTAATGCAATTTTAGAAATAGCAAATCAATTCAGAAGAAAGACTGTGAGACTGGGGAGTTCTGGGTCATTCTCTTCCACCCTTGGGGTAGCTGGGATTTGACTGATAACAGGTGTTCTCTCACAGCAGAGTATTGCTGTGTAGTGAAAATAAGAAAGTAAGTTACTGCCTCTGAAAAAGATAAAAATACAAATACCTGTACAGATATTATTTTATTATTTGTGTATTTTATTCCTTTGGGGATAGTACTTTTTAATGCTGTCTCAGAGTTTAATGTCATTGTGAAATTTTGAAAGTTTGGTTGAAGTGTGATCTTAGAACTAAAGGCAAGGGAGGCCCCTTGCTGGGTTTCCGGTGGGTGGTGGTGGTGACGACACACAACCCTTCCGGCCGGTTCCCAGCCCCCAGGTCTCCGGAGCTGCACCTGGAGCCTCTGAACTGCACCACCCTCTCCGTGCGGTGGCAGCGCGATGCTGAGGACCCTGCGGCCATCCAGGGCTACAAGCTGTTCTACAAGGAGGAGGGGCAGCAGGAGCATGGGCCCATCGTGCTGGCCCCCAGTGAGCTCCTGCACACGCTCAGCGGCCTGGGTGAGTCCTCTCTGGACAGTGGGAGAAGGGTGTTGTCAGCTCTCAGAGAAGGGGCCTGAGACAAAGGGAAGGTCTGGTTTTCCTGCCACTGAGCCTATGCAGCACACGTCCTGTGCTCTAGAAGTGTTCCTTTTGGGAGTTCACTCCTGGAAGTGTGAGCTTTTGATCAGTCATGGGGAAGTAGATGGAGAACAGGAATGTGGAATGGAAGGTTCACCAGATGATTAAATAATCATCAAGTAGAACTTGGAATTTGCCTGAGCATGCTACACGGATGTAAACTAATTTTTGCAGAGTATGGATGAATATTGCCCATCCCTGTGAGCCAGTAACCGTAAATATTTATGTACTCTAGCTCTGACCCAAGGATGCTGGAGATAAAACACTTACCTCCCGTTTGGTTCCTGAGCCTAAGACACTCTCCTAGCCCCTGTTCTTCTGTTCTTTCCCTGTTCTTCCCAAGAAAAGAATTTCCTGTCATCATGCTTAGTAAAAAGTTAAAAAATGTTTATCTAAAGCAAGCTGCTTGTCAGGTTGACCATGTGTTTGTGGCAGTGCTCACAAGTAGGTTTTTACCCTGAAGTATCAGCTGTCACTGTAGTCTGCTTGCCCCTAGCTGCCCAACCTGCAGCATGTGAAATTGTGGGAGGCGACGCCTCAGCCTTCTCCCAGCTCCCAGCTCAATAGCGCCAGGTTGGAGCCCCCGGAGATGGAGCACTGGGGATCCCAAACTCCCCACCCGAGATTTCCAGATGGCGTTTGCCTTATAATCTTGTTAGGTTGCATTTAATTTAATCTGCCTTGGGTTAAGTAAGTTTGGCTGTGGCTCTATCACCTGACCCTGTAACTGATGAGGAGAAGCCACAGATGTCCCAGCTGGCCCTTCCTGGCCAGGGTGCTACAGCAGTGTCAGTCCAGCGTGGTGTCCCCAGACTCAGGCCTTTGCTTTGTCCAGGCTCCCTGTGTGGTTCAGAAACATTGTACTCAGAATCAGCAGGAAGCAGGAGTTGGGGCAGTAGTTAAAAGATCATAGATCAGAGCTGTACTTCTGGTTTCCTGTTGGAGAAGAATAAACCTGTAGAAGATACATAGAAACACTTTCCTCTTCTGCTGTGCTCTTCTTGAACATATGCTACAGGTAACTTGTTCTAGAGAGGTGAAAGTTTATAAGAAAAAGAAAACAGGGCTCTGCTTGTAAAACCTAGAGCAGCTTTGTCTCCTGGGACCCGCGGCATTGCTGTGCTGGGCAGGCTCACGCACCATGCAGCCAGTGTCTGGGTCCCTTCCCGTGCCTTTCAACCCCGAGCCAGGTCCTGCCTCAAGCTGAGGCAGGCAAGGGCGTTGGCCCAGGTCCCAGCAGCCCCTGTGCCACCCTCGGGTCTGACCGGCCGCTGACCATCTGTGACCGTCTGTGCGGGAACATCTGGCAGTGCTGCCTGGTTAACAGAGAGTGATGGGTCGAGGGCAGCAGGTTAAGGGTGCTCAATGTCCCGCAGGGTGAACCCTCGATGCCCCTGAGCTTTCGCACACGAGAGGTGCTCTGGCTGGAGCTGGACTTACTAAGTGGGCTCAGAAATGAAATTACATGCTTCTGTTTGCTGATCCACTGTCAATTTGAGTAACAGACTGATGTCTTACAATTTCATTTTCACACTGATCCCCATCCTGACGCCCTGGATGCACCCTTTTATTTCCGTGTCTGGTAATCAAGTTCGCAATTTGAAAAGTGTGTGATGGAGACGCATTCTCTCTGGAAATATAGACAGTTTTGTTCAGAAAGAAAAACAGTAAATGGATTTTTGTCTCTCAATTCAAGGCAAATCAAACATCTTACACGTTTTCCTAAGTCAGGCATTGCAGGGTGGCATGAGGATGTGATGGCTCAGCTGCCGCTTACAGCAGGAAAGATGAACCCGACAGGTACTCACTGACCGCCTTGTCCCGCGGCCTCCCGGGTTCCCGATTAAATTCCTTTGTGCTGAGCAGGGAAGGTTACTTTAAAATAACTCCAAGCTTAATTCGCTGAGCTGTGGGGTGCTTTGTTTCTGAAGGTGATTACAGAGTCTCGCGTCTGATGTAATAGTGCGATTCAGACCCTTGAGGAGCAGTGGGAAGAAGTCAGTGCTGCTGGTTTGTTCGGTTGACTGCAGAAGTGGTTCGCATTTGGGGATGAGCTGGAAGCACTGTCTTGTGGTTAATGTGCGTGTTTACTCTAGGATCTTACATCTTCGTCATTATTTTCCCTTGATTTTTTTTCTTGGTACTTTATGTGATTAGCTGAGTTATTAGCTGGATGTTTGTTATATGTATCACACCACAAGCTGAAGCAAAAGTCATCACATACTTGTGCTCACTGATAACAGACTGATAGACCAAAAAATTCCTATTTCGGAAACTGGCTCTGAGTTCTGAATTTGGAGTTTCTAAACTCAAAGGGACAGTTTTCTGACTGTTTTAAAACTTCTGAATCATTTGTCTTCATGTTGTGGACTGTGAAGGGGAAGATTATTTAGATGTTACTGTTGCTAATTTAAAATTTAGAGTACTGATGTTCAGTCATCTTAGCTTTTATTTGCCAAAGAACTTACTATATTTAATTTCATAGCAAGCATGATTAAGTGAGTACCAAATATAAAGTTCCAAAATATTTAAAAAGTAATGTGTGTGCTCGTGCACCTGCAGAGCCCACAGCTGTTTGTTCGCTTAAAAATACAAAACTGGAGTTACCGTCACTGTTAGGAGGAGCCCAGAGAAACAGTTCCTGGCAGTAATGGGATTGTCAAGCCCCGTGTCCGTCTGTAAGGGAGCATGCTAGGGTCAGGTCCGGTTTCTGGGTGGCATATTTTGCCACAATATAATAGGGTTTGGTTGTGTGGTTTTATACCTCAAGAAAGAAAACCAAGAAGAGCTACCACTGGCAAGCCAGTCCTATGGCTGGAGGGATTTGTGACTTTTCTCTAGAGGAAGAAGAAGATGTCTTTGCATGAAAGAGACTTGGTTCATCACTTTTCACTAAAAACCTTTCTACAGTAGTAATTTTTTTAAGCCAGGCATGGGCGTGCAAGTGGCCTGAGGCTGGAAGGTCGACATGGGTTCTGGGCCAGCCTGGGCTACATAGTGAGTTCAAGACCAGCCTGAACTGCCTAGCAAGAGCCTTGTCTCAAAAAACAAACAATAAAAGGTAATTTTTTTTTTTAAAGAGAGGGGAGCTAGAATCACTGTTTATAAAATGCAGAAGAGGGTTTTGAGGCCAGCCCGAGCTGTCTGAGTGTGTTCCTTTGTCCCTGTCACACAAACCTGAGATAAGACTCAGAAAACATGGGTGCCCTGCACACCTATATCCCAGCACTCAGGAGGCTGAGGCAGGAGGATTGATGTGAGTTCCAGGCCAGCCTGGGTTACATAGTGAGTTCAAGGCCAGCCTGAGCTACATAATGTGACCCTGACTCAAAAAAAAAAAAAAAAAAAAAAGAGAAGAAAACCTTTGGAAACATCCTAGGGTTGAAAGCCCTTGTAGTGTGATTTTTCACAACTTCCGGGCTGAAGACTGGGGTCCAGAGTGCACTGCGTCTGTGACAGTCCTGATCGTGGATAGCTGCGAGCGCCTTCTGCCGTCTGACTTCCGGCCGGTGAGCTCACCGCACATCATGCGTCCCCGAGCAGGCTCAGGCACCACTCCAGACCCGAGCTTCTCCTGCAGTCATGGAGCTGACCATAAGCGTCACACGTTCTGTCCCCTGCAGGGCCGCACTCCCTGGCTTCTGTTCTCAGGGTAAGTGTAATAATAATCTGGTCATTTTATTTACCAGAGGCAAGGTTTTGGGGACAGACTTCCCATTTCTTGCCTTGGGAATTCTTCCTTGCTGCCTTCTACTTTTGGTAGTAGAAATAGTTCCTCTGAGCAGTGATTGTACTTCCATTCTTTCCCTGCTAAGAGTCAGTAATGGGTTAATCGAAGTCAGGAGATTGCTTACAGAAATGATTTGGCAGTCACTTGCTCCTGTAGGTCAGAAAACTGCTGACGGTGTGAGGGAAAATTATGATGTAACGAAAGGGATATTTACAAGTTTCAGTTCACTCACTTCCTGTTAAAATCTTACCTTTCTTTCTTTCTTTCTTTCTTTCGTTCTTTCTTTCTTTCGTTCTTTCTTTTTCTTTCTTTCGAGACAGGGTGTCACTCTGTTCAAACTGGCCTTGAACTCACTATGTAGCCCATGCTTGCCTAGAACTCTCAACAGTCCTCCTGCGTCAGCCTCCCAAGTGCTGTGACATGCGGCACCACTGGCTCGATTCCCTTTCTTAGGTTGCATTTGGTCTGTTATCAACCAGAGTGTATTAAAGCTTGAGTGTTCTCGCAGTATCTGAAATGCCAAATATGACTTGAAAAATGTAGCAATCAGTATTTCAAAAGAAATGGAGCATTTCCTTCTTTAGAAAAATCCTGTTGCTAAAAAATTAAGACTATTAAGACAGTAAAAAAAACAAACAAATAATAAAAAAAAAAAAAAACCTAGGATTTTTCATTCCCAAATGCAGTTACCCCATTTAAAGGCGAAGTGTTTACAGGCTGATGAAATTGCAGGTTCAGTACAAAGCGTAAGAGGAGCCTTCGCTGGCCGTTTTTCCTTCCATTTTTCATGTTGAACAAGAAAAGGTCTCTGTGGGCCTAAAATACTGTTCAGCCCTCTAGGGACTCAGGTCCCCGGCCCTTCCCGTGGCACGTACCTGCAGGTGTCCCTAAGCGATTAGAGGCCACAGGGCCCTGTCGCCAGCAGTGGGGAGCAAAACCTCGGAGTAGGCTGTGTCTCTGTTGCTTGGATTTGACATCAGACTCTACAGTTTATTAACAAAGTAAATCCTGGCTAGTTGCCTAATTTTTTAGATAGGGCTAATAATAATAATAATGATAATAGCTATTTTAGAATAATAGGATTAAGTGAAAATAATCTAAGCAAAAGCACAGTGCCTGGAAAAGTGCATTATAAGTCCTCAAATGGCAA